CCCTGCCAAGCCTGGCCCTCCCTTCACCTCCCCCACCCCACATCCAGACATCCCGCGTCAGCACACGCTGTGCCCACCTCCAGGAGCACCTTCCCGGCTTGCCCATTGTTACTGGGTCTCCTCCGTTTCCCTGTTTTAAAGCCCTATCCCCTTCCCTGTCTTTCTCTGGCCACCCTTGTACCACTTAATACTTTTGGCAGATGATGTCATCTACCTGGTCCACCCGGGCACGGACTTGTCTGCATTCCCAGCACACACAGCAGGTGCTCAATAAACACCCACGGGATGAGTGGTTTCCTATCTCCCAGGATCCACTTTGACTTCCCCCGTGGGGAGGACGGCGCCAGTGCCGTGTGCAGATGGGCACATGGGGACTCTGCAAGGGACGCCCCGGGCACCCAGCCCCTTGCCGACCCCTCTCTGATGCTCTCAGAGATGCCCCAGAGTCACCTGTTCCCCAGATGTGGGGGTGGCTCTGGGGACCCCAGTTGTGGCCAAACTGCTTCCCCCAAAGCCCTCCCCAGGAGGAAACCTGCAGCCGTGAGGGCAGACAAGGGGGGCAGAGGTGATGGGGCTCTGGGCCCCCAGCCTCAGTTTACCCACTGGTTCCCGTGTGCGTGGCGCCCACTCCTGCCCACGCCCTCCTCAGCTCTCTGCCAGGCCTCTGGGTGCGGGGCCAGGAGAGCCTATGAGAGGCAGGCAGCTGCACGGCAGCCCCACACTCACCAGGGCCTGGAGTCCGGAGAGGCGCTCGTGGGATACAGGACGTCACTGGGGGGTGGGGGGCTGTGTTTACTCCTGAGGCAGCCCGTCGCCCTCTTCAAGAAATGAGAAGTGATTTCCTTGGAACGCTCATTAAATTACGTGAGAGAAATAAAATGTGTGGGTTAAACGAAACGAGGGATGCCGCCGAGGCCGGAGCCTGTCCTAAGCATCTCCTGATCCTGAGCCTCAGCGCGCTATGCGCCCTTCTTCCACTGAGCGGCTGAGCGGCCGAGGCTCTCAGGGGCCAGGTCACAGGCCCGGGCAGCGGGGTCCCTGGGCTCCAATGCCGTAGCTGCGGTCTTCCGGGAAGCTTTGGAGCTTTTCTCCGATGCCCAGTGGCTCCTGATACACTCCGCCACCTCTCCTGCCACTCTGGCTGTGGTACGGGGCTGGGCACAGACTGAGCACCAACTGCATACTGGCTCCGGGCTGAGTGATGAACGCAGATGTATACCCCCCTCAGGGCTGGGTCCGAGGGGACCCGGATAAATACCCTGGAGCTGCCGTTCCTGCACCAGCGGCTGTTTATCTCGTGGCCCTGGGGCCCAGCTCCCAAGCATCTTGCTGTGTTACTCAGCAAGCATCTGTGGGAGCCTGCAGGGCTCGAGGAGTGACCCAGAACGATCACTGTGCTCTGCTGTGCCTCAGTTTCTCCATTTGTCATGTGGAGGTGACAACAGCCCTGGGTTGTGGGTCAGAACAGGAGGTGATGTGCGTCAGGGTGAGGGAACCGAGAGTCAACAGTGATGACAATCGTGGTTCTCGCTGTTATCTTCTTTACACACAGTGGTGGGGTGAGCCTGCTGAGACGGGCCTGGAGGCTCCCACCGGGCCCCCTGCACCCCCACCTGGGCCAGCCCCTCCGGAACTCTTGGTGCTATAACTTCAAATGTCACAAGCCCCCTGAAGGGGCCAGGAAGGGGTGAGCCAGATGCAAGAGGCTCCAGAGCACCCCCTCCCCAGCTCCATGGCCCCGAACCGCAGGTCAGGCCCGGCACGGAGCCGCATGCCAGGAGCCATGACCCCCGCTGTCTTCCTGGTCTGTGCCATGGCCCTGGGAGCCCCGGGCTTCGCAGGTGAGGGGAGCCTGTGTCCTCCGCACCTGATAGTTGCTCGGAGAAAGAAATTCATCTGGCCCTGAGTTAAACTCCTTGACATATAAAGAGCTCCCACAAACCAATAACAAAAGTAAATGTTCAGCAGAGGGACCTGTCACCATCACTGCCACCACGACCACCACCCCGTGGCTGAGTCCCCTCCGACTGGGAAAGCCACCCAAATCCTCCATGGGCACACCCTTCAAGGTCTCAGGTCCCGAGCTCTCGGTTTCAGATCCCTCGCTGTGCAGCCCAGACAGGTCAGGCTCCCCTCTCTGGGCCTCCGTTTGGGAAATGGAAACGGGACCCCCCGCCCGTTCCGCGGAGCTTTGGGGAGCTTGGTTGTTTGCGACCAAGAAGGACCGTTATTTGTTTCACAAGCGTTCCCCGGATGGGAAGGAAATGGGCTTGGCTGTAGGCAGAATCAGCCTTTGGCAGAAGCAGCAATGCTGGCCTCATCGTTCCCTTGCTGTGCAACCCTGGGCAAGCCACTTAACCCTCTCTGTGTATCAGCTTCTCCATCAGTCACAGGGATAGAAACAACGCTGATTCCCCAGGGGGCTCTGGGGCCCCCCCCCCCCTGCAGCTTGGGGAACACTCACGCCAGCCCCCCAGGGGCGTGTGGTCTGGGACAGCCCCAGTGGTCCAGAGCAGACCGAGCCCCCAAATCGTCCCCCGAAGAAACATGCCCTGCCCGAGGCAGCTGGGCTCTGGGTGGCCACACGGGGTCCGACCCGAGAGGAGAGGGCTACCGCATGGACCCTGGGGTTTCTTCCCCGCAGGTTCTCAGGGTTGTGCTGGCTCCTCCCACAGCCCTGCCCTGCACCACAGACACAGGAGCTTCGAATGACATTCACTTGTTACCGGATCGGTGGGCCTCACCGGGCTTAAAATCCGGCTCCCCCGAGCCCACCTGTCCACCCCTGCCCTGCTACCTTTAAGACTCTGGGCCTCATCCCTCAACTGTCAAATGGGGATGATGACACACAGCAATCTCAGGAGATATGGAACTCGGGTGGGCTAAACATGGCCCCAAAGACCTCCCTGTCCTGGTCCCGGGACCTGGGACGTGTCCCCTCCCGCGGCAGAGGGGACCTCGTCAGGGCCCCCGAGGAGGGGGTGACCCTGGGTTCCCGGGGGGCCCGGTGTCCTCAGGAGGTCCTCACGAGGGGGAGGCAGAGGGTGGGAGTCCCAGAGATGGGCAGACCCCGCACCGCTGGCGGTGAGGATGGAGGGGGGCCGCGGGCCAGGAAGAGGCCGGAACCGGGTCTCCCGGGGGCCGCGGAGGGAGGAGGGGACACCAGCCCTCCATTCTGTATTTCTGAGCCCAGAACTGTCAGAGAATCGGTGTGTGGTGGCATGTCACACTGGACATGCCAGGCAAGTGGGAGGCTGGGCAGCCTTTGGGGGTGTGGTCGCGGCTCCTCACTCATATGGCTCTGCCCTGTAGGACCCTGGGAGGTGGGGTTGTGGGGGGCTGTGAGGTGGTGCCCACTGAGGCCTTTCATGGCATCCCTGCAGCTGGTGAGGACATCTTCCCGGCCGTGCTGCATATGGCCACACACTGCGAGGTGGCCGGGTGAGTGGCCGGGGCCAAAGAGAGGGGCTGGGGGTGGGTTGCAGGTCTGGGGTGCTCAAGCCTTAGAGCCCCGTCCCCACACCTCCCAACGCAGGAACATCAGCACCCTCGGTGCAGTCGTGGGGGTTCACACATACACCCGAGCCCTCGGCGGGGTCCTGACACCGCGCAGGCTGGACGGCCACCACCTCCAGCGCCTGAAGGGGGCCGGGCAGGCGGACTCGGGAAGGGCACCTTGGAGGGAGGATGCACGAGCCCTCCCTCAGAGAGGGGCTCAGAACAAAGCCCGGAGCGCGCTGCGGCCACGTGCCTCCTCCTCGGTGCCACCATTCCTGCTCTTATCCCTCCCTCCCTCCCTCCCTCTCTGCCACCGGGGGTCTCTCCCCACCTCCAGCCCCCATCAGCTCTCCTCTCCACCTGCCCCACACCCTTGCCAGGCTGGACGCCGCCCCCCCTGTGCGCCCAGGGTTGCTGTGTCAGGTGACCAGCTGGCATAGCACCTCAGTCTGCGATGACCCCCCAGCAGCGCGCATTCATGCTCGTCCCGGCCGGACGGCCACCTGGCGAGGGGCGGTCCTGGGAGACGGGCTCTGCACCTCCACCTGCCCCAGGTTCTGTGAGGCGTGTGCAGCGTGAGCCTGGCACCCTGCAGCCCCACCCTCCAGGTGGGAACACTGGCCCCGTGCCGCAGCCTCCCCACCCCGACACCCAGCCACCCTCTCCTGTCGGGTCCTCCACACTGGGCGGGGAGCCCGGCTCTGCAGACGCCCACGCCACGTCTCCACCTCTGTGTCCTGGGTCGGGCACATGCTGAGCGGTACCAGTGGGTGGGGCAGGGCGAGGGCTTTGGTCTCAGCAGAGCCTCTGCAAGGGGACGTGTGTCCCGGAGGCTCCCCCAGGCCCTGCCGCTCGCACGTTGCTCCCGAGCCCGCAGAACCCTCTGCCTCACAGGCCTGAGTGACCCCTGTCTGTCTCTGTGTTCTCTAGTCACCAGAACTGTGCATCAGCCATGACCCCAGATCACCAGACCTACACCCCGTGACCCTGCAGAACATCAGCACCATGGGGGGGGGGCGCCGTGTCACTGTCCCGCTCTTGCCTCTGGCTCTTGCCAGAGGCTGGTGTACAGTCAGCACTCGATAAATGCAACCAAGGCAGCAACAATCACAGGCCCATCTTACTGTCCTCACAGCCCTGAGGTCTGTGCTGGGGCTGCAGATGGGGGATAGGCGGCATTGGGGCCAGACCCCGTTCAGCCAGAGAGCCGGCACCTACACCCCTCAGGAGGCAGCCGAGGGCCCTGTGCCTGTCGCCCGTGTACTGGGTGCTGCAGGAAGCTCCCTGCATACGTGCCGTGGGCAGATGCTGGGTAAACTGAGGCCCAGAGAGGGTAAGTGACTGCTGGGGTCACAGGGCTCCCCAGAGCCGGGCTTTGCCCCAGGCAGGCAGCCCCTGAGCCGCCCACTCTTCCTGTGGCAGGGGAGTCATCAGATTTCTCGGAAGCTCCAGTGCAGAACTGGGCGTTGCTGGCTGGGCCAGGCCGACCTCCAACCACAGGCCACAGCCAGGTTCCCTCTTCCCGGGCCGTTGGGTGAGGGTGGGGGCCGTGTCCTGCTGAGCTCTGGAGGGAGCCACCAGCCTGTGACAGCCATGGGGCCTGGGGCCAGGGAGCTGCTGCTGCTGACCGTGGTCCTCACACTGCCCATGAGGCCTACAGGTGAGAGCCCCCGGCCTGTGTGGCTACTCAGCCCTCTGGGTCGTTGCCCTGCTTATTGCCGGGATGGGGGACCAGGGTGGAGGCCCAGGCCCAGGTTTTCTGGGGTCCAGACTCCTCCCAGCACACGCTCGGAGACCTTCCCTGGGCTCCTCGCCTCCAGCCCATCTCGACCTGCTGGCCCCCACCCGACCCCCGCCCCAGCAGGTGCCTGAGCCATCCGTTCCCACCACCCTTCTTCCTGCCCCATCCTGACGCAGTCCCGCCCTGCCCGCAGGCTCCTGGGGTGCCCGGATCATCGGGGGCCGGGAGGTGACGCCCCACTCCCGGCCTTACATGGCGTCTGTGAAATTTGAGGGCCAGCACCACTGTGGAGGCTTCCTGCTCCGTGCCCGCTGGGTGGTCTCCGCAGCCCACTGCTTCAGCCACAGGTGAGCCCACGCTGGGGCCTGCTACAGCCCCCACGTCCTCGGCAGGGGCAGCTTACCTGACAGCAGGTGGGGTGTGGGGTGGGGGGGCTTGGTGCGTGAGGAGCGCAGCCCTGCATCCATCCCGAATACCTTGTTAAACAACCGCTGACGTTAATATTGAAAGTGTTGGAGGTACTGTTATAACTGAGGTGTGAATTATAAGAAATATAGCAAGCATTACGTCCATCCGAAGTACCTTGTTATAATACTGATTAACATTAATGTTCTGACGATCTGGGTAAATCCCATAATTGAAGCGGGAATGCAGATACACATGATTATGATCACAGGGCTCTCGCCAGGATCACACGGGCTGCCACACCCCCATTCTGCAGACGGGGGAGACCGAGGCCCCAGTCCTGCTCTCAAGCCCCCCTTCCCCTGCAGGGACCCCCGAACGGGCCTGGTGGTGCTGGGAGCTCACGTCCTGCATGCTCCAGAGCCGACACAGCAGGTGTTTGGCATCTCGGTTCTCATCAGGCACCCGGACTACCAGCCCACCACCCATGCCAATGACATCTGTCTGCTGAAGGTGAGCTGGGGGCGGGGGGACACTGGATGCAGGCAGGTCTGGGCTGTCCGTGGCCACCCCATGACGGCCTGACTGACATGTTTGAAAAGCAGCTGGAAGGGTCCCGTGAGCACCCAAGTCAGGTCACATCTCTCCTCTGCCCTCCGTGCCTCCCACACTCTCCCCTCAGCCCCCAACTCAGGGCCGACTGAGCTGTCAGCATTCCGGCATGCTCGAACCCCTGGGCCTTTGCACTGGCTGTGGCTCGCTCCAGGACACACTCCCACAGACACTGCCTGGCTTTCTCCCTCCCCCAGCTCTCTCAAGTCTTCGCTCAAATGTTCCCTTCTCAGGAGGCCCCCTCTGCAAGCTGCCCCACCCCCCGCCGTCTCCCCATCCCTTCCCTCCGGCCCACCTACCCTGGGTCCAGCACTGCTGAAAACATCTGCTTCTTCACCATTGTTCACTGCCTCCTCTCCAGACTGGGAGGACAGGGATTTTTATCTCCTGTGGCCATTTATGGCCCACAGCAGGCCTCGATGTTCAGAACAGATGAGACCCTAGGGCATCAGATACTCCAGTCCCTGCTCCCCAGGCCCTTTGTGGGGTTTCTGCGCAGGAAGCAGCTCTTCCCATAAATGTGAGCTTCCCTCCCTGCTCACACAGGGTGCATCCATTTGGACCCCCCACGGCCCCTCCTGCTTGGGGGGCACCCCCCACATCTCCCACTCAGGTGCCCCAAATTCAATTCCATGCATCCCAGGACCTCCGTTTTAACGAGAAAACACCTCAAACCTGCTCTCCAAATGTGGAGAAAAGGGGAATGTCCAAAGCAGAGGGACATTCCACATGACAGAAACAGGTCCCTGGGAACAGGAGGGCTTGGGGTGCCATGTTCTCTCGGCACAATTAGAAGGGCGCAGCAAGTGTCAGTGGCCAAAGCTCACATGTGGATTTTGCTCATCTGTGAAACCCCAAAACCTGGAAGCCACAGCTCACCCATCCCATTATGCAGCTGGGGAAACCGAGGCTGGGGTACGGTCGGGGCAGGGCCAAGGCCACAAGGAGTGAGTGAATACCAAAACTGGGGGCCTGGGTCATTCATTCCATAAACATTGAGCACCAGCTGTGTGCTGGGAACTGGGGATATAGCCACGAACAAACAGCCCCAGGGCCGGTCCCCTTAGAGCCTCCAGTCCAACAGGGTGGCAGCTGAGTAAACTGGTCCTGACAGGGGCACATGGAAGCCCCGAGGAGGCTCTGTCCTACCCCGGGAGTCTAGTCTCAGGTGAGGTCTCATCTGGTCTCAGAGGGGAGCTTTGTCACCTGGAGGAGGTGACATCTAAACTGAGACCTGAAGGCTGGATAGGAAAGGTGTTCCAGCCTGAAGGGGTGGGGGAGTGGGGTGGAGGGACCAGGGAATGACGGTAAGTTCATTCTGCCTGGAGGGGAGGGCTGAATGGTGAGGCAAGCGGTATTGTCCCAAGCACAATGGGGAGACATGGGAGAGCTTACAAGCTGGGGAGATGCTGGTTAGAAGGACACTTACTTCTGGCAGCAGGGGAGGCCAGAGCCCTGGTCTGAGGGGGTGAGGCCTGATGGGCAGGGCCTCCTGATGGCCCGATGGCTGCTACTGATTTCTCTCCATGAGGCCAAGAAGAGACCAGGTGTCATGATGGGTAAACCGAGGCAGGAGGTCGGGGGGTAAGCCTTAATTCAGCAGTCTCTCTGCAGCTGAACCGCTCTGCTGTCCTGGGTCCTGCAGTGGGGCTGCTGAAGCTGCCACGGAGAGGTGCCAGGCCACTCAAGGCTGGGGCGCGGTGCCAGGTGGCTGGCTGGGGCTCCATATCTGACTTTGAGGACTTGCCGCCCGGGCTGATGGAGGCTGAGGTCCGCGTGCTGGGCCTGGACATCTGCAACAGCTCTTGGAGGGGCCAGCTGAACCCTGGCATGCTCTGCACCCAAAGTGGGGACCGCCGGCGACGTGGCTTCTGTTCAGTAAGATACTTGTCTCCACCCTGCCTGCCTATGGTATGGGGAAACTGAGGCCCACAGAGAGGGCTGGAGATGGGCAGAGTCTTGGGAACTAAGTCCCAGCTCACTTTTGAGACCAGATGAGACCTCACCTGAGACCCTGGAAGGACAAAGAATTTTCCAAGGTCACAGGGCTGTCATGTACAGCTGCGCAGGTTGTGCACTGCACAAAGGGCTACAGATTTGTGTATCTATAAGCGGTGTTCAGTAGGGGTGCAGTACACATCTCGATCAAGGGGTTTCTGCTCCTGAGACCCTGTATGGACTAATGGCAGCCCTGGCCCTGATGCTGAAGGAGAAACTCAACCTGGAGGATTTTTTGTTCCAGGCAGAGTGTAGTGATTCAAAACAGAGATTCTGGAGTCCAGCTGTGTGGGTCCAAATCCAGACTGTGCCACTTCCCAGGTGTGTGGCCTTGGAAAAGTCACCTCACTTCTCTGGACCTTTCTCCATCTGTAAAACTGCCACGCTAATAGTACCTACTTCATAGGGTCAGAGTTGATTTTAGATTATAGTTAGGGTGATAGGACTGGGGAGGGGAGAGGAGGGGAGAAAGCAGGAATTTTAGGGTGAGTATTCAGGGAGGCTTCTCTGAGGAGAGCACCTTTTGAGCTGAGATTTGAAGGAGTCTTGAGGAGATCTGAGGGAAGGCATGCCAGGCAGAGACTCATCTCAGGGATGCCATGTACAGCTGTGCAGGTCGCCTACTGCATAAAGTACTGCAGACTTGTATATCAATACCAGCAGTGTTGAAAGGGGGCAGTAACAGGTCTCAAGGATATAGAAAAGCCCAGAGACTAGAGCAAGCTTGCTTTACTTCAGGAACAGCCCAGAAGGCTGGTAGGGCCAAAACGAAAGGAAAGGAGGACAGACAGGTGGGTGAGAGCTAGATGCTCACAGCCCCTGAAGGCTGTTAAGTATCGTTTTTGCTGGAAGAGCACTAGGAAGCCATGGAAGGGTTTCGAGGCAGGGAAGGGTCCTGATCAGATTTGCACATAGAAGCTCCTTCGGGGAAAGAGGCCCAGAGATGGACGCCTGAACTTGCCTTTCCCTCCACCCCCAGGCGGACTCTGGGGGGCCCCTGGTGTGCAGGAACCGGGCCCACGGCCTTGTCTCCTTCTCTGGACTCTGGTGCGGCGACCCCAAGACCCCCGATGTGTACACGCAGGTGTCTGCCTTCGTGAGCTGGATATGGGATGTGGTTCGAGGGCCCCGGCCCAGCCCCCTGCCCAGGACCACCGGGTCCCTGCAGGAGTTGCTGGAACCACAGCAGCACTGGGTATACAAATGAGATGGCAAACGATGCAAATAGCTCCTTCCCCGGAAATCCCATGGCCAGGGCAGGTCATCCACGGGCCCCCCAAGCCCCGGGGAAGCCTGGCATGTATGGGGTGGGGTGTGGGGTAGGAGAGGGCATCAGTTCCAAACCCAAAGGGCCAAAATGACCAAATAAAATGTTAACTGAATAACCAGACAGGACGGTTCATCTCCAGGGTCCATCCACGTTCTTTCGAGCTTCTCTTGTGCCTTGGTGTGGCCGAGGGTCTGGCTTTGCCACTGCCTCCCTGAGTGACGATGAGCCGCTTGCTTCAGGACCGAGGCCCCTCACCACCCTCCCCGCACTGACCCACCCACAGCCCATAGCCAGTGCAGCCTCCTGGCCTTTGCCCACGCAGTGCCCCCCGTGTGGCACTCCTTCAGCCTCCAGCTAACCACACCCACGCATAGGTGGGGATGCCAAGGCCGGGAGAGGGTGGGGCCTCAGGCTGGCCGGGCTCCACGTGCAGTCTGTTCTCTCTCTCTGAAAAGTGCTTCCAACAAACGGTGCCCGGCTTGTCACAAGGTTTGGGTAAGTCCCAGCTGGTGTTATTGTCGTATTATCATTAATTGTATTATTGCTATTATCACACCCCCAACCCTTCTAGGCCAGGCCTCCTGGGGGTGCCTTCAGGGGCATTCCTGGGGGTGCCCTAAGCCATCTTGATTCCCTCTTCCTTCTCCTGCCCTAGAAAGGCTTTCTCCCCGCACCCCCCCAGCTCCGCACATTATTGTCCTCAGCTGTCTCCCTGGCTGCTGCCCACTGCCCAGAGGTAGACACTGAGGCCCAGAGACAGAAGGGGTCTCCCCCCACTCACCACCCTAACAACACCCCAGGCCCCTGGCTGGTGACCCACTACCAAAGGGGGGCAGCACAGAGGCTCAGAGAGAGAGAAACAGAGAGAGAGAGAGAGAGGGGCAAACCAAGGCTTGGACACTCCAAAGTGGAGTCTTTATTTCTTTGGTGAGGCAGGACCCCAGGCTAGGGGAGATGGCCTTGTCGGGGGGCTCGGGTGAACCCATTACTCAAGGGCACTTCTCAGGGTCACAGGTAAGGCACTTCTGAGGGGCTAGGAGAGGTGGAGCACAACCGCTCCTGTGCGGCTCCCCCAAACTCAGAGCTGGACTCTTGCCTGCTGGGCCACCCACGTGTGGCCTGACCCTCTGGTCCACATGCAGACATGGGGCAGGGACACCAAGCAACAGCCCAGAGAGAAAGCAGGGACTTGGCCCAAGGCCAGCATCTGGCTGGCGTCAAGACTCCTGAGCCGGCTGGTGGGTGAGGAGGGTCCAGTTGGAACTGGGCTTAGGGGCTTGGCCAGGGCAAGTCTCACGGGACTGAGAGGCTTTGGTCTGGACCTCACCTGTGGATGGGGCAGCCAGAACTAGGGGTGCTGCTCAGACACGTGGCTCCAGGAGGCAGGGTAGAGTGGGTCCTGGCACATATACCCCACCCCGGGCCAGTGGGTGAGCAGGGGCTCCTGTGCCCCACTGGGTCCTGCCCTAAGTGCACTGGGCACCACTGGACATAATGCCCCACTCTGGGCTGATGCTGGCCCAAGGCCTGTGTCAGGAGACACAGACAGCCCCTCACCCACTCCAGGGCACAAGCTGGGCTTTTCTAAGGGGCCACCACAGGACGTACTAGGGAAATGGGGGCAGGAGGGAAGGCAAACCCTGGAGTTCTTGAGCTGGTTGGGGACAGTGGCTGCTTCCTTGGCCTATCTGAGGCCTGGGTAGGTTCTGAGGCTCATTTATACACACCCAGGCCGTGGACCCCTTCCTCACTCCCAGTCTGTAGTCGGGAAGACTGGGGTGCTTCTTCATTAATTGCCGGCAGGGGTGAGTTCCCAGCCCTCTCGGTGGTGGCGATAATTAAGTTATCCCCTAGAGCAGAAGCAGCATGGGGTCGTCCTGGGCAGCACGGTACCTGCGGCGGGAGCCCTACCCACCAGCCACACTCCCAGGCCTCCTCCCCCGCAATCCTTCCGAGATATTGTGAGGGGGCTCCCGGGCCCCCCCAGGTGGTCCCGGTCCAGGCTCTGGGGAGCGTCCATGGGACATAAATTAGATTCGGCTGTGGCAATAAATAAAACGGGGAGGCCTTGAACGCCAGGCCCAAGCCGGCCCCACAGGCTCACACGAAGTTCTCCTCCTCCTCCTCCGACTCTGCATCTGACGGCTCAGGGGTGCCTGCAGAGTGGGAGGGACGAAAAGAGAAATGGGGGCGCGGAGAGGGGCGGGACGCTAGACCCCGCCGCTGCTCCCCGCTTCGCGCCGCACCTGCACAGCTGCCCGGGTGGCGCACGCCGATAGAGCGGCCCAGGAAGCAGGTGGCCTGGCGGAGGTGGCACGAGGACATGTAGGTGACGTTGTTGTTGCCGCAGAGCTCCTGGCCGGGGCTGGAGGGCGCGGGGCAGGGCGCCGCGCGGCACACCACGCAGTGAGCACTGCCCGTCTGGTCCACCACGCACGACTGCGGCCGCGGGCACAGGACGTGCGCGCAGGACTCTGCGAGCGAGGCACCGGGGCGGGTCAGGGGCGCGGTCCGGCCGCTCCCACCCTCCGGCCCCGCCCCCGGCCGCGCCGTAAGCCGCGCCTCTTCCGCGCGCCCCGCCCGCACCCGTTCCACACCCAGGCCCCGCCCCTCGGGCTGCACCCGCAAGCCCCGCCCTGAGTCACGCACCCCTATCTCTCACCCCACGTGAGCCCCAGACCTCCCTTTCCAAAACCCCACCCCGCTTCTCCTCATTCCGACCCCACAGCTGACCCAATCCAGCGGCGCCCTCTCGGGAGTCTGGTCGGTAGGCCCCGCCCCCGCCCGCCCCGGCCCCGCCCCCACGTACTGCGGCAGCGTCCCGGGTACATGACGCGCAGGTCCGGGTGGCCGCGGCAGCGCGCGGCGCGCAGCTCGCAC